ATAACGGGCTTCGGATCCTCTATATCCTCGACTCCAGAATCCCAGGGGTCGACCCCGGGTCTCCCCTGGTGCCCTCTGCCAAAGACTCCAGGTAGGGCCATTCTCCCCAGCTGCAGTGTAGAGCACATTTTTGGCATCATGTCCTGCCCAAACTGGCCCAAGGGCTACAGCATGAACTAATTCTTGTTTAATTTGTTCAAAAGCTTTTTGTTGCTCAGGGCCCCATAAAAAGTCACTTTTCTTCTGGGTCACTTGATAAAGAGGGTTTATGATCTGACTGTAATTTGGAATATGCATTCTCCAGAAACCCACCACACCTAAGAAAGCTTGTGCTTCCTTTCTGCTGGTTGGTGGAGACATAGCTGTTATTTTATTAATCACATCCATTGGAATCTGACGATGTCCATCTTGCCATTTTATTCCTAAAAACTGAATCTCCCGTGCAGGTTCCTTGACTTTACCCCGTTTTATGGCGAAGCCAGCTCTCAAAAGAATTTTAACTCTTTTTTCTCCCTTCTCGAAAACTTCTTCTGCTGTATTCCCCCATAGAATGATGTCATCGATGTATTGTAAATGTTCTGGAGCTTCACGCTGTTCCAGTGCAGTGTGGATCAGTCCATGGCAAATACTGGGACTGTGTTTCCACCCCTGGAGCAGTCGGTTCCAGTGTATTGGACACCCCTCCAGGTGAAAGCAAACTGTGGCCTGCATTCTGCTGCCAGAGGGATGGAGAAAAAGGCATTGGCGATATCAGTTGTGGCGTACCACTCGGCTGCCTTTGACTCCAGTTCATACTGAAGCTGTAGCATGTCTGGCACAGCAGCACTTAACGGTGGTGTGACTTCATTCAGGCCCCAATAGTCCATTGTCAATCTCCACTCTCCATTAGACTTCTGCACTGGCCATATAGGGCTGTTGAAGGGTGAGCGACTTTTGCTGATCACCCCTTGGCTCTCGAGTTGACGAATCAGTTGGTGGATGGGAACTACAGAATCTCTGTTGGTGCGATATTGCCATCGGTGCACAGTCGTGGTAGTGATTGGCACCTGTTGCTCTTCAACCTTCAGTAGTCCCACAGCAGAAGGATCCTCTGAGAGCCCTGGCAGAGTGGACAGCTATTTGATTTCCTCCATCCCCAAGGCAGCTATACTGAAAGCCCACCGGTACCCTCTTGGGTCCTTAAAATACCCTCTCCGGAGATAATCTATACAAAGAATACAGGGAGCTTCTGGGCCAGTCACAATGGGGTGCTTTTGCCACTCATTCCCAGTTAAGATCACCTCAGCCTCCAACACAGTCAGCTGTTGACACCCCCTCGTCACTCCTGAAATACAAATCGTCTCTGTTCCTTTTTAATTCGATGGCATCAGGGTGCACTGGGCACCAGTGTCCACCAAAGCCTTATACTCCTGGGGGTCAGATGTGCCAGGCCATCGAATCCACACAGTCCAGTAAACACGATTGTCCCTCTCCTCCACCTGGCTGGAGGCAGGGCCCCTCTAATGCTGCTGATAGTGTCCATTATCGATGAAGGGGATAGTGCGGTCTACGCGGATCTCAGTCTCATCCTGGTTACTCACTTCTTGCAAATACAACTCAGAAGTTCTCCTCATAGGATCAGGAGCAAAGTCAACTCTTCTGCGCGGTTTGGGTAACTGATTAGCGGAGACTGGAGCGGCACTTCTCCTGGAAGAGCCTTGATTTGTAGCCGTTCTTCCTTCCAACCCTCAAACCCACTCTTTCAGAAGGTAGGTGGGTTTCCCATCCCATTTTCTCATGTCTTCTCCATGGTCACACAGGTAATACCATAAGTTCCCCCGTGGTGTATACCGTCTCGCTTGAGTAGGGAACCGTTTGCTCCTGATAGCTGAGACCTTAGTCCGTGCATGTCCTGGGTTGAGTGAGTGGTGGAGTTTTTTTGGTGGCAGGGGAGGGGGCTATAGGGGCAGCCCCCTGTGAGAAGCTTCTCGAAACTCCCCCACCTCCAAGTCAGCTCCACTTCTGTTTGGAAAACTGAGACAATCATCTGCGCCTCTGCGATAACATATTTAAGAAGGGACGTGGTGACGAGCAGTGGGACTTGTGAGGAGGAGGGAGAGAGAGCTGCTGCGTTGTGGTTGGCTGCCAACCAGGCCCAAACCATGACAGTGCAGGTGGAGAGTAGCACATGTCCTCTTTGAGTTGTCAGACTTCTTGTGACAGTTTCTCCACAGCCACCACAATGGAAGAAGAGAGACTTTCTTCGTAGTGCTGGAGTTGGTGAGTCAAGTTGTCCATAGTTGGTCCCTCTTCATCTCTCCAGTTCAATACTGCTAATACATTGGTATGTGATGGTGGAAGCACTCCATATAAACTTCTGACACATGGGCCAGGTACATTGGACTTCATCTGGGTCTGTGGGTAGCCGTGCATCATCTGGATCATAATAAACCATCTCCCGCACAGGCAGTTCCCTCACGTATTGGATGCCTCTCTTGATGGTGGTCCACTTACTTGGATGACATATAAGATCTTCCTTGAAGGGATATCTGTCCCTCACGCCTGACAGAAGTCACCTCCAAAGGCTGAGAATTTGTGTCCTTCTTCCAGTGGTCTTGTCAATGCCCGCTTCCCTGGACAGGGATCCCAGCTGCCTGGCCTCTCTACCTTCTAATTCCACACTATTGGGCCCGCTCTCCCAGCATTGGAGCAGCCAAGTAATGAGATGTTCACCTGGATGGCGGCTGAAATCCTTTCACATGTCTCGTAGTTCACTCAGGGATAGGGATCAGGTGATATCCACTGGCCCTGCCTCCTCCTCCTGTTCTCATGATAGCCCTGGCTCATCATCATCTTTTACAATACGAGGTGGTTTTTTTTTGTGTGTGTGTGTATTTCTTCTTCTGTATGGGAGCAACTGACACCATTGTGGATTGGATCTCTGGTTCACCCACAGTGCTTATCGTAGGGGTTGGATTATCTGCAGTGCCTGTTGCCAGAGTTGGAGTGGCTGCAGTGTTTGGTGGAGGTGTTGGAATGGTTGCAGTGCCTGTTGTTTTGTTCTCAGATCCAGAGACCTCTTCTTTTTAATGGTACTGCATAGCAGTAAGCAGGGCTTGATAGGCATGGACCAGGCCCCAGCATGATCTGTGTCTCTCTTGAGGTACCAAGATGACAACACACCTTTTCTAAATGTTTTAATGGCTTCTTAGGATCCTGCACTTGTTCAGGGGTGAAGTTCCAAAACATTGGAGGTCCCCACTGTCCTAGGTACTTGCCCAGCCACCCACAACTATCCAAACTTGGGGTAGGCCTCTGAGTGGTAATCAGAAACAGTTGCTTAACCCTAAACAAAATCTGAACCACATTCAGGAACATAACAGCTCCCAGCAGTGAGAAAACAACGTTAATATGAGCATTCCACGGATACTCAGAATTCTCAGTATTCTCAAGCATACTTGCAAGTAGCTTGGAGAAGGAGAAGATGGAAGAAGGTATCTCCGCCTTGGGTGGGCTCTCCAAGGAGACAAGGTAGAGGGTGTAGTTACTAACCCATTCCACTAGGTGCCCCCAGTGTACACAGACGATAACCACGCTGAGTACAAATGTCCTGCTACTCTCAGGACTGAAGATTTTATCATGCCATAGATTAATGTTACATAATACAGCAAGGCAAAAATCTTAATCCAATTCGCACAGGTAATAAGCATCAGCATGGAGATTACATGTGGTAAGTAATGTGATGTATAACACAACTGCAGCAATGAAAACCACAATTCTAGGAGCCAAGTGAATGACATTATAACCAGATAGACAGTTGGCATTTAACAAATTTGATAGGACACGCAGATCAATTCTGTTGTGATCTCGACCCTTCGAGCCCTACATTGGGCGCCAAAAAGGACTGTCATGGTTTGAGCCTGGTCAGCAGCCAAACACCACGCAACCGCTCACCCACCCTCCCCTACTTGGTAATGGGGAGGGAATCGGAGGGGCAAAGGGAGACTCGTGGGTTGAGATAAAAACAGTTTAACAAGAGTAATAAAATAATACGGTGACAGTACAGACGGGCAATGCACAATGCAATTGCTCACCACCCGCTGACCGACACCCCCCCCGCTCCCGGCTGGCGATCCCAAAACACAAAGACACTGCGGCAACACTCCCAGAAGTGAGAGCGGCCCCTTCCCACCCACTCCTGCCTTTATATGGAGAGCATAATGTCACATGACATGGAATATCGGCCAATCCGGGCCCAGTGCTCCAGCTGTGCTCCCTCCCTGCTTTTTGACTGCCTGCGCACAGGCAGGGCACGCAGAGCTGGAGAGTCCCTGAAATCCCGGCGTGCCATCAGCACTCCTCCAGCTACCAAAAATGAACATGAACTCTCTTCCAGCCTGAACCAGGACAACCTTCCTGCAGAGTTTCATGTTGTAAAATGAGCAATTTCATGTAGTTAGACTTTGATTATTACCAAATCTTGCAGTTGTGAAGTGAGCAATTTCATATAGTTAGACTTGGATTATTACTGAATCTTGCAGTAAACACATATCCCAAATCATGGACTTGTCCCTGAGTGAACATGCTGTGATAATTTTAAAGGGATAACTTCTGTGTTTTAACATTCAGCTGTATACCTCATTTGACTTTTAAACCCACAAATGTTTTTCATACATCTGCATTTATATTTTTGTGCTTTGTTCTGAATGGCAGGTAAAATATGCCTTTGAATCACACCTTACTCATAATAATCCTGTTTTGCCTTTCTGTAAGCTGCTATGGTAGATGAAAGCACAGGAAAAGTTTGAAATGAGATTTCTGTGGTGTTAATGTTTTCTTCTGTCCTTTATGTTGCCTGAAGACTGAATTATATTTCACCTACTTAGTCACACATTTATTGTTATATAAAGGAGCATTTCAAGGCTATAGTCACTAGGACATCATAGTAGTCACTCAGCAAGAACTTCTGTCCATTTCACAAAGGTCATTTTTGAAATAAGTTCAATACTCTATTTGTGCAGGCTTTTAGCAGTGAGAGTCCATATCAGATAACTGGTGCTAACCCCTGAGGAGTCTACAAGCTATTCATAAACCCTGTGATACACTATGTTCCACAAGAACTGTGAGGTAAGTTGCTGCTTTTTGTTTGTTTGTTTTAATTAGACTGGAGTCAGCGCTGTCCCATAGTAGCCCACTGTTTTCCTCCATAGCTAGCTGAGGCAAGGAAGCAGCAAACTAAAATTCCTTGGCTGACTAAGGATAGTCATAAAATATTACACAAGTGTTGAGTCTTATTATTTTCTGCTATTATTTCTATTACCAGCACTTTTAAGACCTCAAACAAGATCTAATCTTGATCTGTGCTCTGTGCATGCAGTGAGAGACAAGGTGTTCTCCCATGAATTCCAGCAGAGAGACGTGATGAAAGAAATTTGAGAAAAGACTTAGTCAACATAAGTAGCTGAGCTGCTGCGGGTCAAACGTTACAACTGTCAGGCCTTGCAGCCAAAGAAAGAAGGATCAAGGTGAGGTCTTGGATTCTCCAGCTGGATCTATTGAGAAGAGGGTGGGATGTGTGGCATGGGGATAAATGAAGAAATGGATTGCAGAGGGAAGGATAGGTGGATCTTCCAGGAATTAGTTGGGAAGGGAGTTTTGGAAGAACGTGATGTCTTTCCAGTGTAGGATGAGGCAGGCTGAAGATTGAGGAAAGCAGTAGAGGGAGGGGTCATGTGTTCATTGTCCCTTAACTGAACTGGTGTACTGGCTTTGTGAACTTCCTAAGAGGTCCCTGGCTATCTATATTGGGGTGGAGTTTAAGTAAGGTAGGGGAAGACTCTCTGTTTTCTTTAGGAAAGATTAACTACCTAGCTGGGAGCAAGGAAGGGAGAACAGTAAGTTCCCATGATAAATAAAGGCCATCTGGACAAAAAGCAAGAGGCAAAAAGTGTAAGCGCCAGAGTATATGTTGTCCCAGTGCACTGTCTGTAAGGTTGTGGAAGGCTAACGGTGCTGCTGGAGGTGTAAATACTAGGAAGCAAGGGAATGACTGTACCTATGCTTTGAGGAGCTGGTAAAGGGCCTTTCCTTTCCTCCCAGGTCCCAGATCTGTGGGAGCATGAGTAGACGTGAAATGACGTGACTGATTTGGTAGTTAGTTGGTCAAAACATAAGAAAACCTCCTTCTCGGTGTGCCTCTAGCCTAGAGGAAACCTCTGCTGCTTGCTAGTGCAGACACAGGATGATACTATGCACACATAATTGGTGAGCCACTTGGTGACATTTGGATTTACTGGAATAAGCATGCTGTAACGAAGAACCAGTGTAATAACCCCAGGCATAGTTGGACAGGGAACTTCTCATCTACCATGTTAAAAGACAATATGGTATTTATGAGCTCAGTCTTCTGGGTTTTCTAGCAGTTGCTTGTTTGAGACAAATAAGTATGATGGATTTGGAATAGGAACACTTATAGGGAGGCAAATCTAGCCTTCAAGCAATGTCAGTCCTCAGATGTACCATGCAAAACCGCCTGAAAACAATCAACAGACCTGTTCTTGATGTCTTGTCGATTTAACTTGTTAATGGGAACATAGTGACTTCATTTAAAAATGGGAATGTTCCATCTGGTTAGACACTTCAAGAGTCTTTATACATGTGACTTCTCACCATCAACATCCTCTCTACATGACCTACTTCCCCTACAATGCATCCCTGATGAGTTCCTCTTCAAAACAACTGAAACACCTTTCTTCACTGTTGTTTACTTTCATTAGCTGCTGGATTGACCCCCAAGGTAAACGTTTTGCAAACTACCAGCATAATAAATGCCACCTTGACCAAACACCTGTCCTGGGTTTTACTCATCGTTGTGACCACAGTCACAAAGTTCCTTTGCTAGGGCTGCTTCTTCTAATATCACCAAAGGGAAAATACGAAACCGTCTGATTGTATTACAGATTATATGGGGACAGGGATGCAAAGTATATGACAGCAACTGACAGGAAGAAAGAACTATGCTTACAAATCAAATATGAGTCTAGTTTTGCCACTGCATGCTTATCCCAATGAATAAATGTCTTTTCACACTGGAGATAGGAAGTCATACACTTCCTTTTGGTAAGCTTAAGAGGCAACCTAGACTGGCATTACCTTTTGGACCAACCGAGAAGAGAGAGCGCAACATTTGAAAGACTGCCATTTGAGGTTTTTTAAATACTTGGAGCCATGCTATAAACCAAACTGTAGTAAAGTGTCTAATTTTTTAAGCATGCTGTCATCTGTATGTCTGCATTCTGGTTGCTTGCTAGACAATCTATGATATAAACATGGAGGTTAGCCTGATACTACCATATTACTCAGGAGTAAGCACTGCTTTTTTTCCTAATAGAAAAAAGAGATTTATTAAAATTTAGTGATTGGAATGACTTTGTTGTAGTCTTTTTCTAATGATGTTTCTTTCATTAATCTATCTATCTATCTATCTATCTATCTATCTATCTATCTATCTATCTATCTATCTATCTATCTATCTATCTATCTATCTATCTATTCATTTATTTATTTACTTTCCCTATCCCCTCTGTACATCACAGAATCACAGAATGGTTGGGGTTGGCAGGGACCTCTGGAGGTCATCCAGCCCAAATCCCTGTCTCAAGCAGGGCCGCCACCCAGAGCCAGTTTCCCAGGTCCATGTCCAGACAGCTTCTGAATATTTCAAAGAGGGGAGACTTCACAACCTTGCTGGGCAACTGGTGCCTGGGCTTGGTGACCCTCACAGAAAAATAGCGTTTCCTGATGTTCAGGAGGAACCTCCTGTGTTTCAGGCTGTGCCCGTTGTCTGACTGTCCACTCAACTCCCACTCAGGTTTTGGCTGACACACACGCTCTGCCCCATCATCCACATCGTTAATGAAGACATTAAACAGGAGTGGGACCCACAGCTGACCCCTGGAGCACGTCTCACCCCAAGGAAGTTGTAAGATGTGCTCAGCTGTCTCCTGCAATGGATCTGTTGGAGCTGGCTGGAACTGGCCATGTCTGGCACGGGGCAGCCCTGGCCCCTGCCCACAGAGGCTCCCTCGGCTGTCCCCCCACTGCCAACACCTGGACAGGGACACCTAATGCACCAATCCACTGGGCAGGGGTTTCTGGAGCAATGTAGATGCCTGGGGCAAGGACAGGCAGCAAGCCTAGGCAGGGGGACCGTGGCTGGTGGAGGAGCTCTGGTGGGGACATCTGCTAAGGGGCTTCCCAAGGCCTGTCTTCTGGCCAGGGCCTCCTCGTCAGGGGCTCACGCTTGCCTCGGCTCTCACGGTGGGGAGAGAGGGTGCAGCAGGGCTCTGTCCTCTTCCGTGTGTAGGTGCTGACTCTCGTCACAACCCTGCAAGGGCCTGCAAGCTGGTCCATCCCAGAGCAGCCACTGGGGTCTGTGGGCCACCGCAGAAGAAGCTGTTGTGATGTTCTGGGTGCTTGAGCGTTCCATTGAGTATGGGGACAGGCAGCAGCCCCTTGGCACGTGACTGGGGCCACTTTAGTGCCCGGAGCTCCCCATGACAATGTGGAGCCAGAGGGGTGGAGCAAGACAAAGCCCCATGGAGCCCCAGCCCATGTCACCCAGCACCAGCGCTCTCTCCTTGCCTCATGGGGACCCCCTGGCCGGCAGGGTTGGCCCTGCCCAGGCAGAGGGAAGGCAGGGGGCCCTGCTAAGGACCCTCCCTAAACCTGTGCTGCTATGCCACATGCCCAGGGCTCTCAGGGCCCTTGTGCCCCCAATGCAGGAACGTTCCTGGTCCCCCAGGAGACTACAAAACACAAAGCAAACACCCTCCTTTCTCTAAACAGGCTGCGGTGTGTTGACCCCAGCAGACCAACGCCTAGCCAGTCCCCAGTCAAGGGCTAATTTGGAAACACCAAAGACCCAGGCTTTGTTGCACAGCATGACACTACATGTCATGGAGGACCCTTTTGGTCAATTTGGGTCGGCTGGCTTTCACAACTGTGTCTCCTCAAAGCCCCTCGCCCAGCCTCATCCTGCTCACGTGGGGACACACAGAGAGAAGCAGAGGGAATCCTTGGTGCTCTGCAAGCACTGTTCCGTGCCAGCGAAAACACTGGTGTGTTTCCAACACCGTTGGGTCACATGGCCAGCCACAGCACCAAGTAGCTCCTTCTGTGACTAGAACTTCCAGTACTGTACAGCAGCTCTAAATTCTTCATGACAGCTACCACTTTCCATAAATTAATTACGGCTTCTCTGAAAGGTGCTGTAACAGAAAGGAAAAGCCTGTTATTGTATTATACATACTCTGTTAAGGGAGGTTAATTCTGAGAAGGGTTTGTAGTTCAGAAAACAAGCACCTAACAGAGTACTTTATGGTTGTTGTAGATTTGAAAGACGTAAATAAGGCACTATGTTTTTTTTCCTGGCTGGGGGTGGACTAGAGTTCCCGTTGGTCTGGCAGCGGGAGGAGCTGCAGCCCCCTGAGACCCCAGGGGCTCCCCAGGGCCCAGTGCCCTCACCTGTGTGCGGGGGCGGGGGGAGCACAGCTGGAGGGCTGGGCCCCGATTGGCCGATAGTCCATGTCATGTGACATTGTGCTCACTATATAAAGGCAGGAGAGGGGTGGGAGGGGCTGCCACTTCTGGGAGTGTGGCTGTGGGGCCTTGGTGTTTGGGATTGCCGGCTGGGAGCAGGTGGGTGGTGAGTGACTGTGTGGTGTTTAGCTGCTGAGTAGGCTCAAACAGTGACTGTTTTATACAGTTTTGATGCAGTAACTTTTGTTTAATTTGAGTCCATTATAATTTGGTTGGTTTAAATCAGCTTCTCAGCTGTGTGGATAGCTGTCTTTTGAAATAAGTATTAAATGATGCTGGCTGTAAAGCACATTATGTGAAGATTTGAGATTTTGGGGAAAGTTTTATGTAGCAGCCTGTCAAAATGTTTGAAGTTATTAACATGTTAGGGGGGAATACTGTAACTACAATTTTTGAGACCTTCTCTAAGTTGAAGTTTAAAAGTAGTTTCCCCAAAATGTAAATGGATGATCCTGGAGAATCCATGCAATTCCCAGTCTGAAGTACTAATGTATCTTGATTTTCCTCAATTCTGTAATAAGCTTCTGATACATGACTTCTAAAGGGGACTTAACTGTGTAGCTTTGGAAGGTGCTGGAAAAATCGCATTCTTACTAAGGGTATGAAGAAGAGATCAGAAGGATAGGGGTCAGATTTACATTCTTCGTGTAGTTGACAGTCACAACTAATTGTTCCTGTTATTCTATGCATTGTTCTTGGTTGAAATAATAAGGTCTAATTTAAAAGATTCAGGAGCTATATGAGTATATATCTTATAGGTTGATATATAGACCTTCATCAGCATCTCATTCAGACCTATTATTACAGACTGTGCTATACTTCTGAGATGATACAAAAAGCGTAAGTCATACTAGCCAGAATTCCTCCTGCAGTTCTGGTTCATGTTTCTTAAATCCCCTGAATCAGAGTAGTCTAATTCCACTCAAGGTGTTAATGAAGAGAGTGTCATGACTGTTGTTCTAAAAAACTGTCTTTGAAAAGATGTAAATTGCTTTGAAATGAGGTAAATCCCTCATCTCTCCACAAATACCTAGGCTTGCCTTAATAGTGTACTTCTGTGCGGAGCCGCGGACGAACGACACGCCGAGACGGGTTCAGTGTGGGTGATAGAGCATCAATCAACGTGTGTGTGTTTATTGGTCCAGGGTACATATATTTATACAGACAATGATAATTATTATGCCTACTAGTCACTAGCTGATTGGCTTAAGCTCTAAAGGTCGTATTCGCACGGTCCACCTACTTGCAGTTAGCTTACAGCACAAGCTTCTCATAACACTAAGTTTCTCATGCTACTATTTCTGATTCCTGTTGACTTGTTTTCGATACACCGTAACACAATGTTTCTCAGACCACCGTTTTCGATATACCGTAACACAATGTTTCTCAGACCACCGTTATCATAACACTAGGTTTCTCAGACCACTATTCCTAATTCCCCTTAACCTGTTTTCGACACACCACGGTACACAGGGCTGAAGCGTCCTTGACATTCCTCCTGTATCAGCAGCTGTGAGCAGCTGCAGGCAAACCCTAGTGAGGCTCAGCATCTGCAGCTAGAGCAGGCTCTGATCATACAATTGCTCGGTGGGCTCAGGACCCTTGTCTCTGAGCCATTCTCCAACACTTCTGCATCATTTTTATAGCAAAGCTCAAGAATGGTAGGAGATACAAAGTGCTGTGACTTACCACTGGCTCTGACATTCTCTTCCAACAAAGTTGTTGCAGTCTGGGTTTAGGGAGGCAATACTGGTGATGGTGAGAAGTGGACATCCAACCAGCTAGGAAAATAGTAGTGGCCTGTAAAGAGTCAGCTTCAGTTGTTTAGACAGCATTCTGGGCTCCTGAGTAGGACTGCTTAACAGAAGGGAACACAGGCCTGTCAACACTATTCACTTTGGCAGCAGATTCTCATGCTTTGTGTGGTAGTCTACCAAGACTCCAGATATTTGACAGGCCAGCGTGTCTGGAAATGTCAGAACACATCAGTAAATCTATACATGTGAACATGCCAGCTGTGTTCTACTTGCAAAGCTCAATCATGCATGAGAAATTAAATTTAGCATAACCAGAATATCTAGCCTACAGGTAGACTGCCCTCCATATCAATACAAATACAAATGCACATCACATACTTCTCAAACTAGAAAGTAGAAAAGTCAGGTTTTCAACTACTTGTGTACTTGTCCAATCCATGTCTATACAGTAATACTAGGTGTAGCTCTATAGTATATTTAGGCAGAAGTTACTATATACAAGTTACTCCTGGCAGCTGGGATATTTATTGAACCCGGTTTTTCATATGGGCTCATCGTTGTCATAGAACAACATTTTTCAGCTGATTCAAGCCTAGGTGCCACAGTCCCTTCTTTGTGTCTGCACTACCAGCACTACAGAGTACTGGTTCAGGTTGGTGCTGTGGCTGAATACTTCCATTATTTGAGAGCTACTTTTCATCCGAATCATCTCCCTGAACAAGCTTTCCATGAACTTGCTGGTGCAAGAAAGGCATTGAAGATGTGTTGATGGGGTTAGGGAGAAGGATGTGCCTTAGTGCTATAAACCACTGTGGAACAATACCCACGTCTGAAGAACAGAGATCAAAGCAATGGAATGGCTACTTTACACTTGCCTGCAAGTACCTTCCCTGAAGTTCAGTGTGCTTTGTGGTTTTCCTATCTAGACATAACTTCAGGCTATGTTTCACAACATGAAATGTTGGATGGCAATGACAGTTAAAGGTATTTCCGTCCCTCTGCCATGGCCTCTTGCCCTCCCAGTCTTGCTGGCACAACTATTTCTGCAGCCATGTTGCAAATACAGTTGTGGAACTGATCTGCTCTAAAGTGAAGAAGGAGCAGGAGCAAGTCAAC